ACGGCCGCCTCCCCCGCTCTTCCTGTGACAGGCCCCTCAGCATTTCCCCGCAGCCATGGATGAACCAAGCCCTTCCAAACACGATGACGGAGAAACTGCGGTTTAAAAAAAATCCCCCCCATTTTCCAGCGCCTGAAGTTCCTGAGAGGAAACCACCTTGGGCTCCCCCCTGCTCGCCGGGGTAGGGAGCAGTGAGTAACACTCGCAGGATTCCCAGCCCGGCACCGCATTCTTTTCTCCAGCATGTAATGGCCCAGAGGAGGAATAAAGTGAGACTTGCTGGAGCAGCCGGCAGAGTAGCTGTGCACACCATGGCCTCATGCTGGAGAGGCATTGGGAAGGGTTGTGAAACTCAGCCTTGTTTTACTGGGGCGCTGGTTGCCTGGAGCAGCAAATGAAACAGGAAGAAAGGAGAAAAAACCACCCTGCAAAGTGTTCCCTAACAGAAAGCCTCACCTGCTGTGCTCTGGAGCACGAAAATCATCCCTGCTCCCCCGCAGCCGGGGCTCTGCACCAGCCCAGCGCTCGCCCTCTCCCTGTGCCCGCACCCCTGCCCGCCGGAGCTGCTCTCGGCCTCCGGCGTGGAGCTGCTCTGCACTTTGTCCCTCACCACCACCATCTTTGCTGTTCTTTGCGTCTCAACACGTTTTTCCACAGCATCCAGTGACGGTTTCAGGGAAAGCTGATGAAAGGTGCCCCATTTCCCTATTGCTGTCATCTCTGCTTGCCTCCTGGCCTTTTTCCTGCCCTGCTCCCACCAGCTCCCTTCCCAGGAGCCGCTGTTGCCTCCTCCTCACCCTACTTCCCCAAGACCTCGGGTTATAAGCCCAGTTTGGGCCTTTGCTCCAACCTGTTTCGCCTCCCTGTTGCAAACTGGTGCTTCCAGTAAGGCGCCTGCCCAGCCCAGTGTCTGCCCCTACAGCGCTGCCGGGCTGCTGCTGCAGCCGGGACGGAGGCTGGGGAGATGAAGGGCAGAAACCAGCAGGTCCACCCTGAACACAGCATGATGCTGGAGCAGGATCAGGCCAGGCAGAGGATTAAAGAGCCAATGGAGCCTGTTCCCTGCCTTTCATCTGCTGCAAGCATGACACAATCGGCCATTAGCTATTCAGACAAGCCTTGGGAAGCCAGCGCGCCTGTGAGCGAGGCTTCCAGGGCCGGTCTGCTGGAGTTGGCAAGTGCGGCGTAACCTGGTTTTGCTCTCCCTGGCCCCTGACCTTGCAGCCTTGGTCCTCTCCATCTCCTTCCTCCCACAGCAGTGGCTCCAGCTCCTGAGGCTCGCAGGCTTTGCTGTGCCCAACAGGATCCCTGCTGTGGCTGCAGCTGGAAAATCTGATCCTGGAACAAGGCTGAAGCAGAAGCCCAGAGGACAGAGCCAGGAAGCCATGCAAACCTCCTTCCTGGCGGAGGCTGGGCTAGAGACAGGTATCTGCACCACCCACAGCACGTCCTGGAGCTGCAGGTATTGCCTAGCAAGGGCTTCCTCCCTCCCCACACCCTTTCCCAACCCAGCGAACCAAGTCTAGGTTTTCCACTTCAGAAGACACTCTCTTGCCTTCTCCTGGAAGCTACTCCACCCATCAGTCTGGCAAGGGAGCAGGACTCTCCCAGCCCAAACCCAGACCTCCCTCCCAGAGCAAACTGGGACCAGCAGAGTCACTTGGTGCAGGGAGCAAAGGGACACTGCCCCTCCCAGAGCTGCAGACCAGCGCAAGGGAAGAATCCAGCTCTTTTGGAATGCTTACAGCACCACCACCCCCCAAGCTTACTTTCAGCAGGCGAAAGCTGCCCCACTAAGCACAGACAGGGCACCACTTCAGAGGGTGCCTTTGGGTCCCCACTGAGCTCCTCCAGCAGCTCACTGTTGCACCCGCTGGAGGGCACAGGGGCGGCCCAGCCCTCC